CTTCACCCTCCAAACTGTATAAAGCTTTGAAAACTTTCGAAATGTGTACATCTCTTCAAATATATGTAAAATGACAATTAATTAGTTGTCGAATAATGCCTGTTTTTGGCATCATAAGTTGGCTCGAAGAACAACAGTTTTGGTGTCTTCGAAGAATTAATAATTGGTTCAAAGCACAAAATTAATATTTTCAGAAAAAGCCTGTGCATTTAAATAAATGGTTGAGAATGTCTTATCTTTTCAAATTGATAGCCAGTTGTTTGTATGTACACAATCAAAGCATCGAAGATACATTCGAAGCATCAAGAGTTGTTTCGAAGGTTGATTACTTCACTTTCGAAACTGTATAAAGTTTTAAAAACTTTCGAAATGTGTACATTTCTTCAAATATATGTAAAATGACAATTAATTAGTTGTCGAATAATGCATGTTTTTGGCATGATAAGTTGGTTCAAAGAACAACAGTTTTGGTGTCTTCGAAAAATTAATAACTGGTTCAAAACACAAAATTAATATTTTCATTAATTATGTATGAACCAGAACCAGAACATACAAAATGTGAATAAATACAATGTTGGCCAAAAGCTACTTCGAAGGCTCTTTTGCCATAATTTTGTAAGTTTCGAAGCACTCCATCTTGCATTAACAGCTTCGAAGAAACAATAATGGTTGTTGTGAACCTTCGAAACTTTGCCGAATATTTCTAAGGATGTAATTTGTCCTTTGTCGGCACTTTCAACCTTCGAAAGATGATTTTGGTCCTTTGTACTACCTTCGAAGCTTGTTACTAGTCCGTAATAGTTAGCATTCGAGACATCTAGTCATAATTTCATACTCATTTGAAACACTTCATTGGTGCTATTATATTATTCGAAGCACTTTGTTGATATTATTCGAAGCATTTTATTGCTTAGATTAGTCATGTGTTTGGTTCGGCCCTTCAAAAATTTAAGTAAATATCATTTTTAAGGGCCGCGGGGGATAATGTTAGCACCATAAATCTGCAATTTTTATTATTATTTATTATTTATATAATTGCAGGACACGTGGCATCCTCTTATTCATTTGAAAGTTAAAAGAAGTTATAGAGATAATGGAGAAAATGAAGGACAAAGTGGATGAGTGGGAGGACAAAGTGGATGAGTGGAAGGACACATGGCAAGACAAGAATGAAGATGGAAGAAATGGGTAGTTACTAAGTAGTTATTGCTGTATTTTTTCTTCTATAAATAGCCATTAATGGCTACATTGTAAAAGGATCCAGAACTTAAATCAAAAACACTTGATTTCAATATTTCTTGTCATTTTCCTTATCTTAGGAGTAGTTTAACATAGATTTATATTTCGAAGCATTTATTTTCAGCATTTCCATTTCGAAGCATTTTATGCACTTTCTTTTCGAAGCATAGGAGTAGAGGTAAGTAATTATTACTTTGATTGTTCACTCAATCATCTTTCTCCGTCCCTTTTTAACATCTTCTCCGTCCCTCATTCTTCTTTTAATTTTTCTTTTCTCTACACTTTGGCAATTTTGAAGTCCTCTTTGTTGAGGCAAAAGAACCGTCAACTCAATCGCTTGATAATTGGGTTGAATTTAATCTGTAAGAATTTTTCAATCTTTTCTAGCACGTTCGCTTTTATAATATTTCCCTTCATAAAAAAAATAAACCAACAATAATGAGTTTCACTTCCATCTGAATCTCAATCCTATGTCCATCTCCTAAAATAAATGGGGCTAAGGCCACACCCAACCAAACAATTGGCAAAACGAGTCTCCTTTGATTCAAATTACAATATCCTCGGCGGAGTCTATTCCGTATGGGTGTTTTCAAAAAGTAGTGAAAGCATTCCATGAACGAATTCCTTCCCAGCCTTCATAGACAGAGTAGAGTAGAGAAAAAATTATTGCTTAAACAAATAAGTTAAGGCACTGATTAGAATTGATCTATACCAAAAAAAGTAAAAATAAAATACTAGCTTACTTGTTTTTGGTTTTGTAAAAATACTTTTTAAAAAGATTTATTTTTTTATTTTTTGTGTGTTTTTTATTTTTTATTTTTACTGAGTTTTTTTTTAATATTTTAAGCAATTTGTTTAATTTCTAGACACATTTAATATAAATACACATAAAAAGTATAATTTTTGTGATTTTTTTTTTTTAAAAATTCATTAAATATCAAAAATACAAAAAAAAAAAAGGAGAATTCAAAACAAATTTTGTATTTTATGTATTTATTAATTTTTTAAAAATATTTTTTCACAAATTTTTTACTTTTTAGATATATCTAAGTAAGGTGTATTTAAAAAAATAAAAAAATACTTAAAATTTAAAAAATATTCACTAAAAACAAAAAAAAAACACGAAAAACCAAAAATTCAACTTTTAAAAAACTTAATCTAAAAAACTCAAACCAAACACACATTTTTATTGTCGCACTGTTTCTCTCTCTATCTTTTTCACTTCTCTTTCGATTTATTTATTTATTAAATTTCACTCCTACCAAGCATATTGCAAGTTTTTTTTGCTTCCTTCTTGTAATTTTATTTTATGAACTTTGCTTGTATCCTATATAGCAATGACATTATTGCTATGAACTAATTTCATTTGATTAATAATTTTTTTATGTCTTTATTTCTACCATAGTTTTATGAGGTTGTATAGGTTTAGAACCTAAAATATGTTGCATTTTGTTGTCAAAAAATTAAAAATTAAAAAAATAGACGGATAGATTTTTACTTTTTTCGGTCATAAGAAAATATACGGTAGTATTTGGTTGAGTTTTAGAATTATAATTTGATAATAAAATTATATTTTGAGATTGTAGGTTTTGAAATTATGATTTGAAAAAAGAAAATTTGTTTAGTTATAAGTTTTGAAAAGAGTTTTGAATTTTTGATGTGACATATGAAATGAGAAAAATTGTTTAGTTATGAGTTTTGAAATTGAAAAACTTAGAATTCATAACCAAACACATAACTCAAAATTCTATTGAAAATTATATTCAAAACTCATAATCAAACTCTTTTTAAAATTTAATTCAAAAAAATAATTTATCATTTTGGTCTAAAAAAAATAATTTTTGTATTTAAAAAAATTAAAAACAGATATACATTTTTTTTTCAAATAAAAGGTGGCGACTATTGCAAAAAATAAAAATAAAAATATTGTTTCAATCAACTGACCGAACGACTGGCCAGACATCCAGGAGGATGTTCGGGTGGACGACTGGGTAGATCAAAAATTCAAAAATTATCTGATTTACCAAACATATTTTCAAAATATGTTTGAAATTGATTTGGAATCTATTTGAAAACATCAACTAAACATACATTAAAATAGGGGCAGTTTGGGAAGAGGCTAAAAAAGCCAACTTCTTGGCTTTTTAGCCAAAGAAGTCAATTTTTTTTACCCAAAATAACTCAATTTTTTGTCAAAATAACTCACCAAAAAATTAATTTTTTACCAACTTTTCAAAACACTACATAAGTTGAAATTAGTTTTTAGAAAGTTGCTCAAAACACAGCCTACAATTGAGTAATGCTAGAGATCCCAAATATTCTACCAAAAGTTTTACCAAATATTCTACCAATTGAGTAATGCTAGAGACCCCAAATATTCTACCACACCCATGTGAGACATTTGGTAAAACTTTTGATAGAATTTTTGGGGCCTCTAGCATTTTTGCCTACAATTTGATAACATGTGACGCTTCTTTTGACTAGTTAGGGTCCGTTTGGCAAGGAATGTTGAGGCTAAAATAGCCACAAAAGACAAAATATGTTATTTTAGTCACAATAAACAAAACATCACATTCAACCATAATCATTACACTCTTCTCTCACAAAAAAAAGTCAAAAAAGTTAAAAAGTCCTTCCAAACCAAGCTTTTTAGCCCAGGTTAAAATAACTAAAAATATCAAAAAATCAAAAAGCCAACCTACTTCCCAAACGGAAGCTTAGTTAAGTTTGATGTAATTATTTTTTAAGTGAAAAATTAATATTTAAAAATAAATACTAAAGCATCATCTCCTTAGTTTTTTTTTTTTTGGTTAATTTTTTTAAAAAGTTCTTTATTACATGAATTATAAATAAAAATTACACTAAACATTTTAACATAATTTTATAATATTTAAAAAAAATAAGCTCAAAATAGGTGGAACAGTTTGTCACATATGGTGGGATTGCTACCATATATGTATGGAATGTTTGGAACAGTTCGCCACTTATTCAAAAAAAGAAACATATCTTTGGAACCGTTCATCCAATCAAGCTAAAGATTTTAAAAAATTTATAAATTTTTTTAACTAAATGTCTCGCATGGACACGAGACTCACATTCCTATATTCATATAAAATATTTGATAAAAATTTTAATAAATTTTTTAACATTACTTCAGTTTGTCTTTATGTCTTCGCATGGACACGAGACTCACATTCCTATATTCATATAAAATATTTGATAAAAATTTTAATAAATTTTTTAACATTACTTCAGTTTGTCTTTTTAAACTCAAAATAGTTGGAACTTTCGCCCTTTACTCAAAAAAAAAATATGGGTGTGTTTGATTTGTGTTTGTAGAGTAGTTTTTGAGATAAAAAGTATGAAAATTTGTTTTGTTTGTCTTTTTTCAAAAATAGTTTTGGAAAATTATTTTCGAGAAAAAGTTTTAAAAAAAGTAATTGATTTGATGTGTATGAGAGAGAGTGATTTTGAAAAGTAGATAACCAAACAAAATTTTGAGATTTTTTTAAAAAAAAATTTGTTTAGTTTAATTACTCTTAAAAATTTATTTGTGGAGAATTTTTTTTAAAATTTTTTCTAAAAAATAAACCAAACAAAGCCTATATGTTTTAAATGTTTACGAGGTAAAAAAATAATTTAAATAACTAAAAAATAAAAATTTATTAGCAAAAAGACTGCGTTTAATTTATTTTTAATTATGGCTTAAAATTAGATAAACCCATCATATCATACCCAAGATGGTTACATCTTCCAAGAAGCAGGGGAGGACTCTCCAAAGGCTTCTCTCTCTCTCTCTCACTCTCACTCTCACTCTCACTCCAACTTCTGTACCAAAAGCATGACTGTTCTATCTCAAAGACTCTTGTTTTCTTCCTCCAACCCTCCTCTGTTCTCATTTCCCTCTCTGCATTACACAAATTGAAAACTCTTACTTCTAAATTCCCTTCCCAATTATTTTTTTTTTAATTTTTTCATTTTTTCCCCCCAATATCTCTGTATCGTGATCTTTGCAAAGTGAATGAAATGCGATTTAAAAATTCACTTAATCTACTACCCACTTACTTAAATGTCTCTATTTTCAATATATATAGACATTTAATTTAGCTCTTGATTAAGAGTTCAAATCTGTCAATCAAGCTTCGAACTTTGGAACCTTTTGGTGCTCTGTTTTCCCCTCAATTTTATCATTTTGGTTCTGGGTTTTTCCAAATGTCACACATCGACTTAGAATGCGGTGGTGATGGTGGTGATCACCGCCTCTCCTCCCCCGCCGTGAGCGACGGAGACGAAGGTTCTTTCCATTCTCAGTTCTATTCCATCAATGATGGGTCGTGCGACGATTATGGGTCTGATCTCGAGACTAATGTTGTTTCGGATTCTCTGTGGTTGTCCTCGGCGGTGGACTCAGATTACTCTGCTGATATCGAAAATGGGGTTCGTGAAATCAAGGTTCATTTGGGGAGAGTAGAGAGAGATTGTCGAATTTGTCAACTCAGTTTGGAGAGTACTAAGCCAGAGTCTGGAATTGCAATCGAATTGGGTTGTTCTTGCAAGGATGACTTGGCTGCTGCACATAAGAGTTGTGCTGAAGCTTGGTTCAAGATTAAGGGAAATAAGTGAGTCAAAAATCATAGCTTTCTATGCTCTCTCTCTCTCTCTCTCTCTCTCTCTCTATATATATATATAAATTTTTAATTTAATTGCATTATTTGATTAGTGTCTTTTTTAATTTTTATGTTTTTATGATGAATTTGATATACCCAAGTTTAGCTTAGTTATGCAAGTTTTGATTTTTATGAAATGTGTGTCAGTGAATACCTCTATTTATGCTTATCCAAGTTTTGAACTTATTTTGATGTTTTTCGACTTTCAAAGAGTTTTACAGTAACTTAATTGAGTCATGTTTTCAAAATAATGGGTCCTGAAAATAAGATCAAAATCATGTGGGTTTTGTAAAAAATATTCTTTAATTCTTAGTCCCACATTCATATTTTTGTTTTCAATTTTTTAAATGAAATGGTTTTTATTTGTGGTTTTTAGTGTTTGACTGCTGTTATAATTTCTGAGATTTGTTAAATTTAAAGCATAAAGTATAAGGTTGCTCTGTTTGTGGGGGATACATTAGTTTTGATTAGTTAAAGGAAAATTGAAAGTGATTGTGCTAATTAAAATATCGAAAATTTAAATTAAAAAAAAAAAGTAAAGCAATAGTTAGGGTAACAGTAACGATTCCTTGCTATTTTCTGTCATGTTTGAGATTCTTTTCTTCTTTATGAAAGTGGAGATATGACACCTTATTGATAATATTCATTTTCTTGGCAAAATGATTGTTACTTGCTGCTACTCCACCGTGTATATTTTTTGTTTGTTATATGCAGATTCCAGATTTTCTTTTTATACTAGATATCTTATGGTTGCTACCTAGCCTTCCTTTCCAAATGTTCATAATTTTGGATTTTATTTTTTGTGCTTTCGAAAAAAAAACAATGATAAGTTTGAAATCACCCACTGTTTTCTTTGGGCTGAAACAGTTTTCAAAATTTTGAACACAGCTTTTTGGGTATTTCGTTTTCTAGAAAATGAAAACAGAAACGAAAACACAACCAAACATGCTCTCTAACTTTGCTATGGACATTTTTTATACTTTGAGGGGTGGTAGCCGAGGCGATGTCCCAAGACTTTTTGCATTATTCACTGAATTTGCAGTGCAGATTTTGTGATACTTCTGTTTCTTTGCACTTTTAACTAATTGTGTGCGGGTAGTGTCATATGTTATCTACATCAGTATCAATGTCGTGACTGCCACAGTGTATACCATTTCTTGGCAAAATATCCTAGTTCCACTTACTATGATATTGTCACTGATGAGAGCTGCGCAATTGACTGGGCACCACTAAAGCAAAATGGGCCGAAATCATTGTCCACATAGAACTTGATTGCGATCATTGAGAAGCCGGATTGAGCGTGCTGTTGTAGCTCAGTGGTAGGGCCTTGGAGTCGCATCTCATATCCTAGTTCCCCCGCGGTTAGGAACATTATATTATGCAATGCTTTTACATATTCTCAAAAAAAGTGAAAAACAAAAAAACAAAAAAGAAAAACTAAAAACTAAAAAAAAAAAAAGAGAAGCTGATTTCAATCTGACTACCTGAAAAAGCTCCAGACCTATTAGACCTGAAAAATAACATAAAATAGAAAGATTGACATCTGATAATGTTCGTGTCATAAGTGATTCATTGTTCTACACACTTTAATGCTCAATTTTAGCTCTTCCCTCATTCACAGAAGGTTTGATTTTTTGTGTTTGTTTGTCATGGCTTTAAATGAATGCTGCTGTAATCCTTGCCTGTGTCAAGAGCCTGCTGAATTGAGCTTTCGTTTTGTTATATGCTTGGAATGTGAATTCTTATGTGTTTTAAGCTTCAAATTGTTATCTAGCTTAAACTAGTAACATCACATGGTTTTAGTATGAATTTCTGTTGAATGCCTAAGTTTGAGTCTATATTTCAGGACTTGCGAAATTTGCAATTCTGTTGCACGTAATGTACTTAACGCAAATGACATTGAGTCAACACAGCAAACGAATGAGACCAATGTCACAGCAACAAACGCTGTCTCAGCTCCTCCCTCTGCAGAGATGCGAAGATGTTTGAATGGTCACCGCTTAGTGAACTTCCTTCTTGCTTGCATGGTCTTTGCATTCGTCATATCTTGGCTCTTTCACTTCAACATCCAATCGTGAAAACCCCTGATGGCAGTTCTTTTCTGCAAAAATTTCGATGATTTGATGATTAGCAACAAGACGGTTTTAAGCCTGCCACGTTCATCTAGGTATATCTATCTATTAGGTCATAGTTGTTCCTCCTTACTTGTTAAGAGTTGGTTGAATCCATATTTGCATATTCTAGAGTTTCTTAATCCATTTTATGAATATCTCTTGTTGGTTTTTCTGTAACAGTTTAAAAATTATATTATATTAAACCATGTTAATGGTTTCTGATAAGGCAATGATTTTTGCTCCGGCTTTTAGAACATGTTAATATTTTTTGTTCCGAATTTTGGAACAAGTTGATTTAAAATTGCTCAAGAAAAACGACGATTTATGTAACCATTTTTTATGTGATCCTATTAACAAACAAGAAGGATTATAGACCTTCGTTTTAACACGGATTTTGGCATATTTTAAAAAGTAGGTTGAGAGCGGATTTTTTTTGAGTTTATTTTTCTTTTTTTTTTTTAAAAGTACAAAAAAAGGTAAAAAGGTAAATATGATTCAAAACAGACAAAAAAAAAATTAAAAAGTTATCTTTTAACCAATTTTTCAAAATAAGCAAATTGTGGCATCGTTTAACAATTTAATATTTTAACTTAAAAGTTAAAAAGTCATTATATTAAAAAGTCAAAATTTTTCTTTTCTTTATACTTTTTGTATATTTTTCATAAAAAATTATTTCAAACATATTTATTTTTTTAAAAAATTTTATCAACAATGATTATGATCTTTTTTTTTTGAAAACCCTTACAATCTCTTTAGATCTCAATCATTGATGGTGTGTGTCCTACACATACATAAATGAGTCTCACACATACATCAATGATTGAGATCTAAAAAAGATTGTGAGGTCCCAAAAAAAAGAGGTCCTAAGTGTTATTCTTTAAATAATTGATTAAAGCCGATTTCGCAAACAGATAATTTTGGAAAAAAGTTGGGACCCTTTTTCTGAAAACCCCCACCATCTCAATGCATTGTGATTGATCAATTTTTTTTATTTTTTTTTTCCTCCTATCTCTGACTGACATATGTATGTGGGATTAAAAAAAAAAAAAAAAAAAAAAATCCGTATCATTTCTCAATAATTTTTGTACATGAAATGCTGCTTGGAAGTTTACCCCTTTTATCCCTAAGGTAATTCTTGGTCGCTTAAAAAAATAGATTTAATTTTTTTTCCCCTATCTTTGCATTTCCTACTCATGTGAAGATAGGAAATTGAAAATAATCAATATTTATTTATTTATTTTCTATTTTTTATTTTTAAAATTTTTGGATCTTCGCAAGTCCCATCAAATTGTTAATTTGAAGTAACACGTAGCTTTTTTTTTTTTTTTTTTTTTTGAAAGCAAAAGTAATTCGTAGCTTTGATATAATAATTTTTGTACAAAATTTATGATGAGAATGATATAACAGTAACATCTTTTTAAAAACAAGTGACTTTAAAGTAAAAAAAAATCAAAACTTGTCAACCATAATTTTGCATTGAGTTTTTATTTTTTGTAGTGCTGCTTTTTGCAGAATTGTCCCCCCAAAAAACAACAATTGCAATAGAGCCTCTAATGTGGAGGACGGAAAAGAAGTGTGATTCTCACTGAAATTGCATAATAGCATTAAAATATGCCCTCAGATCAAGAGGAGCTAAAACAAGAAAAATCAAGGCCAACAATGATTATCCTTTTTGGTGTAAGAAAAATCAAGGCCAAATCATTATCCCTTTTGATGTAAGAAAATACCAAAATGGAAAAAAGAGAACAACTTAAAATAAATACAAGAAACAAGAGCAAAGATTAGAAAAAGCAAAGAGAAGGAAAACCTATACATTTTCAATTTTTGTTCCTTTTGGCTTCCAAGTTTGTGCCATCTTTGAGTGATTCTTGGCCATCTGTATCCATCCCAAGGCTGAAGAGGGCAGCCGCCTGAAGATAGAAGGCGGTGGGCCAATCAGGAGACACCACCTGGGCTTGCATAGCATCGCCAAGAGCTTCTTGCGCCATGTCACTCATCAAGCACGATAAACAGCGTCTAGCAAACACGGTTGGTGATACCATGGTCCCGCCATCAATGAACTACAAGAGACATAAGAATAACTTATACATTTCCTTAATATTTTACATTACTTAATTAAGTTCGAATGAGATTTTAAACAAAGTACTCACTTGGGTGTAGCAATCAATGGCGGTTGCAAAGTCCTTGGCTCGAAAAGCAGCATCTCCTCGCTTCTTGGAATTCAAGGTCTCCTGCATTTGGTTTGTCCACATTTGAAAAGAAAGCTGCAAAGCCAGAACAATGATATTAGGCAATTACGAGTGAACCAATCTTAACTACAGCATTTGAAAAGGGAGAAAAAATGAAGTTGGATTCAATGAAACTGATATAGAGATGTAGAGCACAAACACGAAAAACCACAAAAACAGCAAATAGATCATAGCAAGATTAGAACACATCATCTAGGTTTACATCATTGATAGAACAAAGAGAATTATCTAATACCAAGTTAGAAAATGGCAGTAACACACCTCGTTTGCAATCCCCTCATCATCCTTGTATCCAATCTTCTCCAATATTTCATGTATGGCAGTGAGATCCATTCGTAAGCAAGCTTCTCCCAATGGTGTCAACAGCAATGGTTGTTTTGAGGATGCAGTTCCGTGTGGAATACCCATCAAAACATATGATGGAACCTGATTGAACGCATTGAATGAGAAAACAACTCGTCACAGCTTTTATAGTAGACATGCTTACTGCCATTTGGAAATGATTCGAAAAAATGTAAGTAGCATGCAAAAGAATACTTACAAATCAAACTTTTGTTTGAAAGTTCTCACAAATATCATAAAAAATAAGAGTAACATAACCGTGCATATAGTTTCCCTTAAATATTACAATTAATGTTTAGCATAAGTTAGACAGAAAATCATTTTTACCATGCATAAACAAATGTTCTCGATGAAGATATAAATATACCAAAATGAATTTGCTTTCCTCAAGCACTAAAATGAGGTGAAGTATCAATAGGGACACTATGGAGCAAAATTACAAGGCATGAAGTCATCAATTATGACGATACTTCAAAATTTTGTAGTTGCAGAAAAGGGGCAAATTCATCTGTTCTGGGAATACCTCTGTTTCTTTCTGAAGAGACATGAGGGCAGTAACGAGGGACTTTGCATTTGGCCTCTCACGAGCTTCATACTGTAAACAACGGGAAGCAAACCTCACCAACTCAGTTCCATCATCATTCGTGAAATGACCCTCCAAACAAGAATCCATCAGCATCAGGAAATTCTTGTCACGAATAAGGTCGAGTGCCTGCAAGAAAGGCACAAAGAAAGTAGCTTCTCAAACTTCAGTACTCAAATAATTCAAACAGGAATTCCATCAAACCAAATGAAACCTTAATAACCAAATCTATGAATTTGACTTGGAAGTCAATATCAAGTGTTAGTTGAAGAAAAACAGTCTTCAATGAGTGCCAACGACGCCATCCCTAGAAGAAGGTGTCACTTTCATGACATGACTTTTAGAATTCCTAACAAATATTAGTGGTAACCACAAGCTTGTATCAATGTTTGGTAATCCAATAAAATTTACATTATGAGGGAATATGATAATTATACATCCAGTGAAAATGACTATTAAGGAAATGAAAGTTACATGGCTTGGCGGAATATGTTTGCCACTCAAAAGATCTAGCAGCAGGGTTCCGAAGCTGTAAACTACACTTTCTGCTGTCACTCTTCCTGCCAAAAATAGGCACGTATCTTGTTACTTTTAACCTTACATCAAACATAGTTGGCATCTGTACAACTATAGAAAAAAAATAATGCAGAATGTATATATGAGAGAGAGAGAGAGAGAGGGGGGGGGAAATCAAATAGTAACATCAGAAGAGTAATCTATTGACGAACAAACATCTTCACACAGCCAAAGTAGGCAACACATTTTTCCCAACCCCATAAAACCACGAGCTCACAGAATAATGGATCCAGATTAAACTGACTTTGTTTTTGGGTTCACCGAAGCCGCAAATGGATTGGATTGTGAACTTGCAAAAGATGCTGCAGCTGTTTCAAAAACAGATACCAATCCAGAATCAACTACTGTGTACCTGTTCTTAGGTACTCCGGAGGAGTGAAAGCCAGGTTTGTACTATAACTCTTGCCATCTCTGCTGTTTTTCATTAGGCCAAAGCAAGAGAGCCTAGGATTGCCATCCTGTAGACATCATAGTCAAAAAATAAGTTTCATCCGCTAAAACAAATTTAAAATGAGGAAAGTATCCGTGTAAACCAACTTACCTGATCAAACAAGACTCTGTAAGCATTGAGATCGTGATACAGGGCCCGCCCTTTACTACTGCAATATTCCAAAGCTTGTGCCAAGTAAAAGGCCACCCTCAACCTCATTGCCCATTTCATGGGATGTGCCTCCCCTGAGCCAATTCATCACATAATTAAGCAAAAACAGCAATCCAAGGCACATAATAACATTTAAGCACAAAAGTATGACGTAGATGATTTCAAATAAGAGATTAAATTACTTCACATGACGAAACTGTACATCATTCATCATTGTTGAATGAAGTAAAATAAAATTTTCCATTATGTAGTTGTTCAGCACAAGCTTAAAATAATTCATTAGTATAAATTTTAAGCCCATAGTTAACAAGTACCAAATAATAAATGCTGGTTGTTGAACCAAACCAATTAATATATTCTCAGCATAAAAATATATTCAATTGACCAAACACAACACATGAGAACCTACAGTGGAAAAGATGCTTGGCAAGTGTTTCATTTGGCATAAACTCTGCAACAAGCAGCCTCTCGTTGCCTTCGTAGCAACATCCGATCAGATTCGCCAATCGTTCGCTCCTAAGATTCCCCACAGATCTTGCTTCCTCCTAATCCACAACCAATCAAACCAATTCAAATTTCAAAAACAAACCCAACAACTGAAAAAACTTAAATTCAAACTGTAATTAAGAACTGAAATTGAGTTCAACTAACATGAATTGAATTCAAATTTCAAAACAAAAAGGCAACAACTGAAAAACCCAAATTCAAACTGCAATTACGAACTGAGATCGAGTTCAAATTTCAAAACAAAATAGCAATGAATGAAAAACACAAATTCAAACTGTAATAAAGAGCTGAAATTGAGTTCAACTAACAATGAATTGACGAGATTCAGGCCAGGCAGTCTTGTGGAAGCGCTTCACGGCGATCCACCGGTCGTTTTCAAGCTTCCCTTTGTAAACAACGTTGGGAGCTTTCTCTCCATGCTCTGATACAATGCCTTCTGAAGAAAACCCATTTGTGGCAGCTTTAAGGTCCTCTAAACTGAACTCAGTGAAACTGGGTAACGAGTTTCTGTCACTTTTCCCCCCATTTTCTGCAACAATTTTCATAGAGAAAGCCCATCAAATTAGTAAGAAAAAACAAGGTTTTACATGTAGAGTAGAGGAAAGAGAGGACTTGCCCAGATCAGAGGATTCGAGAACGGAGGGTTTGAGGTGAGAATGCCACCAGCAGACAGAGAGCTTGGAGCAACGAGCACCCATTGCAGTAGAGAGAGAGATGAGAGGATTAGAAGATGAGCATTGTTCTGTGAAACCCAGAGTGAGTCAAAAGCTACGAAGCGAGGTGTCAAGTTTCAGCTTGGGAGGAGAGAAAAGCAGCGAAAAGGGTGTCTAGAGAACCATAGAGGGAGAAGATGTAGATTTGTGGAGACTCTGTTGAAAAGGGCCTTTTCACCTTCTTTCTGGTTTTCAAGCCTTCTGCTTTTTTATGTGAAACATCATCATCATTCATCTCTGAACCTTGTTTTTAATTAATATTAGAAATTTTAAAAATTTTATTAACATTTTTAAAAACGTTTTATGTAAGTGTGAGAATCATCTTATGACTTTTAATAAAAATTTTGATCAAATTTCTAACATTTTTGTTTAATCAAATAAACAATTTTGACATACAATTTTTAAATTCAACTAATTTTAAAATTATTTAGTGTCAAATTCAAGTTGTTTTTATATGAAATCATACTTTTAAAATACAAGGTAGCATTTGGTTTAATTTTTAAAACTCAATTTTATTTTCAAACCATGATTTGAATCAAAATTTATAACCAAACAAATTTTTAAAATACAATTCAAAATTACTTTCAAAATCTTTTCTTTTTTTTAATTAGTATTATTAATCAATCAATTAATCATTTTTTCACTATAATCTCTCCTCTCTCCTATCACATTTTATATATCAATCAATAAAAATAAAATAAAAAAGTATAAATTATTTCAAAACTCATAATCAAACAAATTTTCTTTTTTCAAATTATAATTCAAAAACTCAAAATACAAAACACAACTCCACATTCAAATTATAATTCTAAAACTAAACCAAATGGACCCTAAATTTAGAGTTTAAAGTCATGTTCATGTCTTCAAAAATATACATATATATATATATATGAAAAATGTTAAAAATTTTACTAAAAATTTATATATATATATATTAAAAATTTCAAAAATTTCATGGGATCTATATGATGTAAGTTTCACACTCATATAAAATTTCTAACATTACTCTATACATATTTTACACCGTTAAAGTCTGGTTTTTGAAACATGCATTCGTAAAATAATTTTAAAATAATTTGGTTTGATTTTATAATTTTGATCTACATCTGATAGAAAAACTTTTCTATGAACCATTTATACAATTTTTCACAATAAATAATAAAATGAATTTAAAGATTTTAATAAAAAAAAAAATTGGTTTTTTAAATTATTTTACTTCGTAAATAAAAATTGCACAAAATATTCATACAAAAATTCTTCAATATATATAATAATAATTAAAATAAACTGCATTAAACAAGTTCTGTCTAATTTGGTAATTTAATAATTTTAAAATTCAAAATTTAAATAGTATAGCTTCATGTGAAAATAACAACTCCCATAAAAAAAAAAAAAATTAAAATCAAACTCTGCATAGACTGTGAAAGGAGAGTATTTTGAACCAACCCCGGTTGGTAGCTCGAATATAGGGGCTCGAATTTGGCTCGAAATTAGGGGGAAGAAGAAAGAGGAGGAGGAGGAGGAGGAGGGAGGGAGGAGGGAGGAGGAGGAGAAGGACTGGAGGGGGCCCAATTATTAGGGCTGGAGGCGGAGGAAAAACTTAACCCTCTAGATAACTGAACCTTCTGACTTTTTTCCCCTTCAATCCTGTTCCCTCTGTTGGAACTTTGGATATGATTACTTCACGAAAAATGGTTGGTAGCTCGAAATGTGTGGCCCGAAAAAAAAAAGAATGACAAAACGACGTCGTTTTGCCATTCGACCCAAAATCGGGCCACAAATTTCGAGCTACCAGCCATTTTTCATTTTGAACTTCGAATTGGCAGTCGCTTTCATCATAAAATCCTTTCTATTATATCATGTCTAATTTTATTCAATCATTCATTTTTTAATCCTTCGTTTAACTATGTCCATTGCTTTAGTTCATTAATCACAAATTGTGCGGACATATTTTGTAAATGACAACACGTGATCAAAGTGACGTCGAAGTGTCAGCCGAGATGTCACGTGATTTGGTCACGTACCGTGATAATCTCGGCTAGGCCGAGGTTATCTTTGGAGATATCAGAATCCGAGATGAGCGGATAAGGGACAAGAATCTTAGAATGGGGGAGGACCTCAGTCTGAATAAAGATTGAACTCTTAAGGAGTTTATCTCTATCTAGCTAGGAGTCCAAGATGAGCAATTGAGCCACAGTCTATTGAAACTAGGCTTCTACAAGGATCAAGTTAATGCTGATTATAAAAGTAAGGTATCCTCGTGGGTCTAAGGTACGCTTTTTATGCTCTATCCAGTGAGTTAAGCACTATTTGTGATCTTTGAGAGATAATTGATTACTGACTTGATCGTCGGAGTGCCCTCGAGTGGATGAACTACCGCCAGATTCTTATTTTTCTATAACAGGTTGTTCGGGCTTAATCTATTATGTCGGTGCTCTCTTGCTGAGTTTTCCTGTTTGGTTGTGTGGTCAAAAATCAATACCCACAATTTAGCGCCGTCTGTGGGAACATAAGGAGAATAGATGGCCAATGACGGGCAAAAAGACAAAGTCAAGAATGACATCCCTAGTGGTAGTGGCAAGAACGTCGATCCTAATGTGAAGGAGGAGAACGATAATGAAGGACCTCGAGATCAGAATCCCAGGAAAAAGAACGTCGGCCAAGAGGGAGACGCACCGAAGAAAGCATGTCAAGGTGAGTATTACAACGAAAGTGACTTCCAGGTACGGAAAGATAAATGCCTGAGGAGGGACGGCGAGATAAAGAGAATGGCAAACAAGTTGGAAGGCCTACAATCGGTTGTCAACTTCATGATCCAGAACAACGTCATGCAGCCACCGTTTCCATTGGAGGACACGCCGATTCCAGCGGCCAAGAACGATGCCCAGAAAGGGGGGCATAAAGCAATCCCAGCAATTCCTCAGCATGTCACATCGGCCTTCGCGGGACGCTGAGTGAGCAGAATCAATGAGAGGAGAGTCTCAAAGGACACCTCAAACCAAGGGAACTTACGTGAAGGAACGTCGGCATGTTCAAGGAAAGGAACTTTGTTTTGACACAATAAATGAAGAGAAGTCCAAGAGGACTCATAATGACACCGGGAGCAGTGCACCAAAAAGGCTAAAATCTATTGACAGCCGAGCTCCTAGTCAGACTAAAGAGGATCTAAGGGACTACCTCCATAGGAAGAGGTAGAATGCCAAGGTCACATCCCCCGTCAAGCCGAGGACGCTGTTCTCTATAGAACTGGATTGGTTTGAGGCCTCAAAAAGGTTCCATATGCCGAGATTCTAGACATATGACGGCAAGTCCGATCCGAACTTTCACGTCTTCTTATAGTTGAACTCAATGGCACTGTATACTGGGAATGAACCGTTGCTATGCAAGGTGTTCCCCTCATCCTTTGGGAAAATCGCATCAGATTGGTTTCACAAGTTGCCGAAAGGAACTGTGAAAAGTTGGAAGGCCTGGTCGAGATATTTGTGGCCAGGTTTGTTACAAACAAACTGCAGCCGTTGAGGGTAGACTCCCTGATGGCTTTGAAAATCGACGAAGATGAGAGCCTTAGGGCTTATGCCAAAAGGTATTACAAGGTGTTCAACTGAATACTAGGATGCAATCAGGAGTTGGAGGTCGTATCTTTTAAGCATGGCCTAGAGGATGACTGTATGCTTCGAAAATCACTGGCAAAGACTCTGCCGAAGAGTATGGAGGAGCTCATGGCCAGGATCGAGAAATATGCAAGAGCAGAAGAGGATACGCCAAGAATGAAGGCGTCAAAACAAAAGAAGAGGAACGACTCGCCGAAGTGAGGCCAAGGTAATATAAATTTCAATAGACAAGAAATAAGACTAAGGGCTGCACAGGTAGTCACCACAGTGTTCCGAATCCCGGTTTATAAAGTCCTGGAAAGGATCAAGAACCAACTGTATTATAGAGCACCAGAAAAGATTCCTGACGAATTTATGGAAAGAAGCCTTGGGAAGCACTGTGCCTATCACAATGAAGATGGACACCTAACGCAGGGTTATAGAGCCCTAAAGGCGCATTTGGAAGATCTGGTCAGACAAGGTCACTTAAGGGACCTAGTAGATGAGGCCCAAACGAGGGAATAATAAGTAAGGCTGCCCCAGGCACTGACAGCACCACCTCTACCATCACTACAACCAGACGGAGCTCGAGTGATCAATGTGATTCACTCGAGGGTTAATGAGAACGAGGTACGTGGGGAGACTCAGAGGGTGAAACATCTACAACATGTGTATCAGGTCCAGCAAAAGAGGACTAGGATAGACGAGTACTACGGACCAATGGTGTCCTTTATTGAAGCCGACCTAGACATGGTGCAGCATCCACACAACGATGCTCTGATGGTATCCCTCAAGATTGGAGAATGCCAGGTAAGGCGCATTCTGATTAACCAAGGCATTTTTTGTGACATCATGTATGTTAGATGTTAAAAGGAGTTTGGCCTTCACCAAGATGATATGGAGCAGTCCAACAGCCGAATGGTCGGGTTCAATGGAGCGCTGACATGGCCTTTGAGAGCAATAAATTTGGATCATAGGCAGGCACCAAGAAGGTAAGCACAGAGTTCACAATAATTGACACCACCTCCCCTTACAACGTTATCTTGGAAAGGCCATGGTTACACGCAGTAAGGGTTGTTCCCTCAACACTGCACCGGCTGTTACGGTTCCCAACAGAGCATGGAATTGAGGAGGTCAGAGGGGATCAGGTGCAGGCAAAGAATTGCTCCATGGCAGCCATGAAACCTACCTACAACGTGCAAGAAGCAGAAACAGTAGAGATTGAGGACGAGGACGAAGACATAGAGGTCCTGGATGATGTCGGCAAAGAGCCGGCCGACAAAAGCGAGGAAGCCTTAAAGAAGATCCTAGACCAATAAGGGGATGAAGAGTGCTTCTTCCTTCTCGACTCAGGTTTGGTCGAGGAGGAAGAGAAGGAATTAGAATAATTCTTACGAGCAAACATAGAGGTGTTTGCCTGGACACCCTATGAGATGCTTGACATTGAACCCGAGGTCACATGTCATAGTCTAAATGTAAACAAGTCGGCTAAACCTGTTATTCAGTGGGCAAGAAGGCCAACGTTGGTTCATATGGAGGCAGTAAAGAAAGAAGTGGACAAATTATTGGAGGCCAGAGCCATTCGGGAGGTAAACTACCCAACTTGGTTGTCAAACGCAG